GACTAATTTTACTATGACGCTGAAGAAGGCTCAGGGTCTAGGATCGGACTTGTGGGTCACTGAGGCTTCCTAGGTTTCTGGAATGGAGCCCCTGTCTTCCCACAGCTCATGTGTGGGGGCAGAAAAAAAGCAAGTACCACACACAGATGCTGCAGCAGACAGGGGAGGTGGTGGTGCTGGCAGTCACTGGGGTCTCCCAGCCAAGGCCAACTTCCCACACTGACCATGCCTCCTCCCCTCTACCCCCAAGCTGGAAGCGACTTATCCAGGGCTCCAGGAGCTGCCTCCGCGAGGGACTGAGTTCCCAAGAGCTCTGCAGAGAATGTCAGAGGCTGGGTTTGGGAACTGCTGCCAGCTCTGGCAGGCTCCGTCCCCCGACTGGGGAGGCAGTGGCAGCAGAGAGGCCAGCGGGGTGGCAAGTGACCGGGACCCTCCAGGGTAGCAACTCTGAAGCAGTTCTGAAAAGGCGTGGACTGGGCAGGGGGGGAAAGGGACTGTTCAGTCAGGTGCATTTGCCGGATTCCGTTCCCCAGTGCTTGTTGCAGGGCTGGACGCAGGGATTAAAGAGAAAGGCGAAGACCCTGGCCTTGTCCTAGGGCACTGCAGAGCCTCCTCTCCTCCGGGCTTAGCCATTTGCACAGACTCCTGGGACATCTTGGCTAAGAGGATACCGAGTACAACAAGAAAACAACAATGACGAAATGGCCGAGGAGGCCAGGCACTGGTCAGGGACGGGATCTGGGACAGAAGCCAAGTCTCCGGCAGCCCTGTCCTCAATGCTCTGCATACCCTTTTGATACTCCGAGGACATATCCCCAGCAGCTGGGCTTGTGGCGGGAAGTGCTCTGGAGGAGGGGAGCGGCGACTCTGGACCTAGCGGACAGCACAGCTCTGGAGTCTGCCCAAGGCGCGCACGCCGAGGAGTTCTGTACCCCTCCGGGCTCGGCTTCCTCGGCTAGTGCAAGGGGCACTTGAGCCGACCTCGGTGGGCTGTGAGGACCGAACGGGCCAATGCAGGCACGCAACTGCGAGCACAAAGCGCCTGCTGTTGTTTCCGTCTGCACCCCTGAGCTCGCTGCGAGGCACCTCGGGCTCGGCTCCATTGGAGCCTGCCCCAGCAGTGTCCGGGGCAGTGGACCCCCAGAGACAAAACGTGGACCATTCACGCCCCCAACGCGCGCGCGCGCACACACACACACACACACACACACACAGGCTCCCGGGGGACCGGATCCCCGCTAGGGAGCCCCAGCCTCCGCCTCGAGCCACCCTCCCAGGCCGCCTTCTCCGCGGGCTGCAGCACCCCGGCTCACCTGCCTCGGGGAGCGATCCCGGCCGCCGCTCCCGCCGCCGCTGCCGCTCGGCCTTCTAGTCCCGCGGCCCACGTGGGGGCGGGGCGGCTCACCCGGAAGCAGCGTGCCCGGGACCCGACTGGCGGCGTGCCGGCCAAGCCCCCTCGGGGCACTCCTCCCCCCCGCCTCGACGGAGGCCCCGCCCACGCAAGGCGGGCTCGTCGAGGTCGGGCCAATCGGGTGTGCCGAGGCTGAAGGGCCGCCCGCAGCCCCGCCCACCCTCGCGTCACGGGCAGAGGGTGGAGGTTGCCCACGTGGGTTCCCGTGACCCGCGCCGGCGGGGCGTGTGCGTGTGCGTGTGCGTGTGCGTGTGAGCCTGCCTCCTAGGCTATTCATTACAGCGCTGTTTTAATTTTGTTCTAGTTCCTTGCCAAGCCTGGCGCTGGTTAGTTGTTGAAAGAAACATTGGCAGGCGAAGATATTAAGACAACACTGTCATGCCCAGCGCAACAGCCAAGTCTGATTTTTCTAGACCCGAGCATTTTCTGGTAGTTGAGTTAGAACCATTCCAAGTCAGAAACCTGGCGCTGACTGTGCTCGAAGGTCAGCGGGGCCGGGAATGGACGAGTTAACAGTAGGGGATCGTCAAAGAAAGGCTTTGGAAAAATTCTTTTTAAAAAAGATTTATTTATTTACTTTTAATTGGAAAGCCGGATTCACAGAGAGGAGAGACAGAAACATCTTCCATCCGCTGGTTCACCCCCAAGTGGCCACAACAGCTGAAGTCCGAGCCAATCTGAAGCCAGGAGCCAGGAGCTACTTTCTGGGTCTCCCATGCAGGTGCAAGGTCCCAAGGCTTTGGGCCGCCCTCTATTACTTTCCCAGGCCACAGACAGGGAGCTGGAAGGGAAGTGGATCAGCCTGAATACAAACCGGTGTCCGAATGGGCTCCTGGTGCATGGTGAGGCATGTAGTAACTAGGCTATTGTGCTGCAGGGCCAGGATTCTTAAAGGGGTGGTTGAGACCTTGGAAAGCAGAGGGTTCCAGGGTTAAGGGACATGGTGGTTTATTGCTAGGGACATGGAGTCTGCTGAAGTCCCAGGCGCTGGAGTTCTGATCTGTGTTCCCAGAGGAGGGAGGAAAGGAGGTCCTGTGCTTTAAGAGGTGGGGACAATACCACACACTTCTGCATGCAGTTACCTAACCTTAACTATGCCCTACATTTCTTTCACCTGTTTCCTTAGTTTGGCAATAATTAGGACTATTTATTTATTATTTCAGGGTTTTATTTGTAATTATTACTTTATTTTGATAATTTTTACATAGTTGATTAGGGCACCAAGGGTCAAGGGCTACAGGAAAGTGAGTAAGACCATTGTTTCCACATTATCTTTTGTTTTCTAGCTCTGGGCTAAGGGGAGAACAAAGGGAGAAGCCTCACCCAGCCTCCCACCCATCCCAGGTCTCCGACATGTGGCATGATGCTCTGAGGGTCCTGCTCAAGTGGTTTTGATAGTCCAACAGTTAGAAATTGCTGCCAGTCTCGCCATTCCAAGCACAATGAAATCTCTCCAGAATCCACTGGCTGACAGTCTACCTTAGAGTCTCCGTTAGCCCAGATTTTCACTGTCAACACATGGCTGGGGTAGATACCGATTTGTTCTGTCCTCTGTCCTGCTGTGGTACCAGGTGTCCTCTGCAGGTTCCAATAGACTGCCATATCCTCCATGTGCACTTGGATTTGCTGTCTACTGTTGCATCTGAGCCTCAGAGGAGGCTCAGCTTTAACACTTGTCTCCATGGTCAGACCATGAAACCTGCGCTTCTCTTCATGGTTGGGGTTCTGAGATCAGCAGTTCAGTTGGAGGGATCTGCAAAGAAACTTTGTCTGAGGTGATCCCAGGCATGATTCCTGTGTGTGTATGCCAGTATAGGGTCCAACAGAGTCCATTGCCCCCGTCAGCTTATGAATATGCTGGTAGTTGCAATTGCTAGGTCAGTTCTGTTTCCAGCCCTATCTTCCACATGAGTCAATGGGTGTTGCAGTTCAGCCTGATTCTGCCCACCACACAGTTGGCCCTCACGCAAACCAGTGGGAGCTACAGCCTAGTCAGGGCAACTCCCAATAACTCCCCCCCTCAGGCCTGCCCCCTGCCCTGGTTCCCATGCTTGCTAGTATGTACAGCAGACTGTTCCAGTCTCTCCCACATCCCATTCAGCTCTCAGGTTTTTTATTTATTTAAGAGTCATTGCACAAACAGAGATCTTCCATCTGCTGGTTCACTCCCCAAATGGCCAAAATGGCCGGAGCTGGGCTCATCTGAAGCCAGGAGCCTGGATCTTTTTCCTGGTCTCCCATGTGGGTGCAGGGGCCCAAGGAGGCATCAGGCCACGCTTTGCTGCTTTCCCTAGCTGTTAGCAGGGATCTGGGTCAGGAGTGGAGCAGCCAGGACTCTTTAGAGGCCCCTGGAAGGGATACCAGCACTGCAGGCAGAGGATTAAAGCGTTACACCACAACATCACTCTAACATAAATAAATCTTGAGCATAACATTGAGCAAAAGAAGTCAGACACAAGAGTACATATTTGGCTTATATGAAGTCTGAGTCAGGCAGAATTACTCTGTGCTGGTTGGTGTCAGAACAGCTGTCCCTTGGCAGATGGGGGAGACTAAAAGGGAGATCACTGGGACTTTTTTTTTCTTTTTGAAAAAGATTTATTATTTTTATTGGAAGGGCAGATTTATAGAGAGAAGGTGAGACAAAAATCTTCCATCCACTGGTTCACTCCCCAAATGGCTGTAACAGCTGAAGCTGAGCCAATTGTAAGCCAGGAGCTTCTTCCAGCGCTCCTACATGGGTACAGGATGCCATAGCTTTGTGCCATCCTCTAGAGCTTTCCCAGGTGACAAGCAGGGAGCTGGATAGGAAGTGGAGCAGCTGGGACTCGAATCAGTGCCCATATGGGATCCCAGCGCTTGCAGGGAGAGCATTAGCCAATTGAGCCATCATGCTGGGCCCCAAAGATATTTTTGGTAATAGTGAGAAATGGGGCATTCTTTGGGAGATTCATTCCAGACAGGTACACACAGCCCTGTGACAGAAAAGATTAATAAAACAGATGTATTTTTCCTTAGGTTTTATATGACAAGTTTGGGTTTGGCAGGAAGTGGAGGGTAGGGAACTATAACCCACCCTGTTTCATGAAGATACACTTGGCAAGTCGAACACAGGGGAAGCAGAGAGGAGGCAGGAAGCTGAGCTCAAAGGAAGCCACAGGAGTGCAGAAGGGACTTGGCTCAGCTTACTGTATTGCTCCTGGGAATAAAGAACTTTTGTGAAAGGAAAAAAGCCACTGGACCTAATGACCACTGAGGTCCTGCCTTTGCCAACTACACAGAACTTCATTTAGGGTTTGGAAAGGCCATGTGGATTCGTGCGGTCAGCAGCAGAGTGGGTGATAGGAGGGCTGCTTCATAGAGTCCAAGAGGTCACACATAAAGGCCTTGAGAATGGAGCCAGAGCAGGAGCCCGGAAGTGGCACCCAGCACAGCCTCAGCTGTGGCCCAGGAGCAGCAGCCCGGCCTGGGGGCGAGCAGCCTCTGCTGGTCACCTGCGGTAATACAGGCGTCCAAATTTACACGGTCTGGCCCTGTCAGCAACCCCAAAGGCTGTCCCAGGCCTACACAAGGTACAAGTAAGAGTCAATGAGTTTTAAAAATGTTCTTTATTTGTACAAAGCATTATAATCGTCTCAACAGCTTTTGCTCATTTGTCAAGACTTCACTGTATTTTTTTTTTTACATTAACAGTGTCAGACTGTACACTTCCCTTAAGTGCTGAACTTAAGAGATGAAAACAGTGCTTGGAGCACTGAAGGGAAAGAGAAAAAGACTGCAAGAGGCTAACAGAGACACTGGAGGAGCAGTGACAGCTGGTTAGTGGGGAGTTGTTAGATTCCTGAGCACCACCTGACTGCCCTAAAGGAGGGGCAGGAAATTTTTCAAATTTCCAGTCATAAGGTTAGAGCTAAGAAATCAGAGCAACTGAACACTTTGGAATGTTAGATTGGCAAGAACTGAGAAAAGGAAGGAGAAGGGAAGTGAAAAGGAGGCACCAAAGGCAGCAGGCGGCGAGAGGCCCGGAGTGGGACAGCTGTGCCGGAGGAGCTTGTGATTAGACGCAGGGGCTGGGGCCTCACACCCTCCGGGAGGATCTCCAGCCCTCGGTGCAGGCGGTGAGGCTCATGCAAGACTGTCCACCTGCCCTGTGAGACGCTGGCACTCTCGGTTGACGAACTGCTGCTTTCAGCGGGTACATCCTCAGTGCGGCCCCCTCCCTCACCTAGGCAGGTTGCTAAGAACAACGCACAAGGGCTCCAAAAGTCCATAGAAAAACAAAAGGCCGATTCCCGCTCCTGCCGAGTGAAAGGACAGCAGACTGGATTTCTTTATTCTTCTAGTTCCCTGAAGCCAAACCCTCTGACCACCCGTAATAAGCTCCATGGCCCAGTGTTACACAATTCAGCGGGGCTGACCATGATCCAAGCCTCGGTTGGCCTGAGCTTCTCCTCTGCCTCTGTATTTTTTTTCTCAGTGGCACGATGACTGGCAGTGGAAACCTCCCAAACCGTGCGTTAAGTAAACAAGAGTGATTTTATCAGGTAATTTTATCAGATGTTCAGACTCCCTTTTGCCAAATAAAGTCACCACATCCGGATCAATGGAGCTGAACAGATGCTGCTCTTGGTCGCTCTATGTCTGGGAAATGCTGTTTTCGAAGATCAAGTTCTTACTCAAATGTTCTCAGGCACTTTGGCCTAAGAGTTCTGAGCCCAGCAGGGCAAAGCTTTACGTAAACATGGCCACTGCCTTCCAAGGTGCCAGTCCTTCCCCCCACCCACAAGTGCTCAGTTTTCTATGTCCTCCTCCTCATTCGGCTCTTCTTCCTCCAGCCGCTCCTCATCCTCCTCGTTGTCCTCCTCCCTGCTCTTGTCTTGCTCTTCGGAATCTGTCTTCTTGTCTTTGTCCTTCTTCTTCTGTTCGGAGGCTTCCTTCTTGCCTCTCTGCTCCCGTCTGTAGGCTGCAAGAAGAAAGGCGAGGTCAGAGGCCAGGGCTGTGCAGGACTGGACCTGAGGGACTGCGGCAGCCGGCTTCATTGGATAACCAGAAAAACCAAAGTACAGAAGAAAGGAAAAACAAAACAAAACTTGGCCAGCATCACCCCAACTAGGCCCAGCTGCACTGGCTTCTGAACAGAAACCAGCCCACCTGCAAGATCTCGGGGCTGCATAAAACAGGTGGCACATCCTTAACGTGGTGTGGAGCTGGCAGAGTGATGAGGTAGCTGCTTGGAACACCCGCATCCTGCACGGAGGGCCTAGTGGGAGTTCCAGCCCCCTGCTATGGACCCAGCTTCCTGCTCACGTACCTTGCAAGGCAGCAGGGGAAGGATGCTGACCCAAAGGCAGCAGTCCAGCTCAGCCCTGATGACTGTGGGCAAGGGGGAAGTGAATCAGGGGCTGTGCGATCTCACTTGAGCTTTGAAATAAAAAGAACCCACGAGGGTCGTTACCTTCCAGCGCTTCCTTTAATGGGGTCACGAATCTCTGGAACTCCATCTCCTCCATGGCTGACAGCACGTCACTGGCATTCAGGGTCTTGCGCTTCCCTTTCATGGCAAAGTTGTTGGCACTGAAAGGAGAGATGCGTAAGAGGTTGGCAGGTTGGTGGTCTCCCTCTTTCGGCTACCGAGTGGATACGAAAAGGAGCACCCGCATGGGGAAGGAAGCCTAGGGGTGTCTGAGAATCCATCCCTTCCCAAGCACTTCGGCGCTAAGGCAACGGCTGTTTCCGAGCGTCGGACAGCTTTAAGGGGGGCCGTGCAGCACTGCTGACCGGGAAAGGACAGGATGACTGGGGCCTCTGGGTTCCAGACCCCCAACTCGTACACAGGGACTGTCTGTGCCCGCCCAATGCCTCCGACCCAGCAGAGCCCTGGCCGGCTCGCTCCTGCTCACCAGGACGTGGCGTACAGCACGAAGACGCTGGCGGCGCGGGAGATGGCGCTCCGGGCCTCCTTGGAGATGTTGACACCGTCCGGCAGCTGCGAGAAGGGCGGCGGTGAGCAACGCAGCCGGCCCCGGACCTGCTCCCCCTCCTGCCCGCTCGTCCGCCCCAGCTGCTCACCGCCTCCTTGATGATCCTGGTGATGACGGCGTTGGGCAGGTTGAGGTCCTCGGGCCTCTCTGCCATGGCCGCAGTCGGGGTCCGCTTCGGGCCTCCTCCGGCAGCTCCTCCGGCGTCCGGACTTCCCGCGTCGCTTCTGTCTGACCCTCCGAGGCTTCCGTGCAGCCTACACGCTGACTACACGGCGTCCCAGAGTGCCCTGCGCGCGACACGCTTCCGCCTCAGGCCGCGGCGTCTCCGCACCTTCTGGGGCCGCGGTGCTTTAGGCTCTCCGGGCCCTCCGGCCGGCTCCACCTTCGTCCACACGTTCTCTTCCTCCTAGAATGGCTCCTCTGCCTCACGTTCCTGCTGCGTGTGGCACTCTCGCCCCGACGTCGGTGTGGCCCATAGAGGCCTCCGTCCGACGCCCGGCGGGCTCGGCGCCGCTGCTAGGCGACGGCGCGGCCTCGCGGTGGGCGTGGGGCGCGGAGGCGTGGCGGTGGGCCGGCCGGCGGGGCGCCCCGGGAGGCGGGCGGGCCCGGTGAGCCGTCCGTGCGGAGCCCGGGGCCGCGGGGAGGGAGCCGGGCCTCCGGGAGCCGGGCGGCTTGGCGGGGCGCTCTCGGCTGCGGTCCCGAGGGCCAGAAAGAGGCTGGGTCTGCTGTTTGTCCCGGATCCCCTCACAGCCTTGTGATAATCCTAATTTTTACCCAGTGGTTTTGTTTGTTTTGTTTTTTAACGCAGAGCGTTCTCAGCACAAACGCTGGCGACATCCAGATGTGCCTCATTAGGCTTCAGGGTTCACTTCGGGCGGGGCAAGTAAAGGAAGGGCGAGAAGCAGCTGCTTTGTAAAACTTTCTGTTTTTGGGTTTTATGATACAATTCCGTAGAGTCTGGGATTCCCCCTCCTTCAAGTTCCCACCCTCCCGACTGATTTTCCCCATATTATTGCAATAGTATAGCCCATCATAAGGAGTTATAATCCCATCAGTCTGTTATTTTCGTGTGCCCCGATGTTGCCGGTACAGACAGTGTCAGTCCATCATCCCATTGTCTTCGTATGTCCAACAGTTTCATTGGGAGTCCGTCTCTGATTTGAAAATAGGGATGCATGTTGCTTTTCAAGTACTGCAAAGTCGCATTTTGAAACAGCCCTGCTGAAATGGTGTTTAGTATAATGCAAATTGTATGGGGGGACATCTTTCCTAGTCAAATCATCCCCAAGAGTTTATTTTATTTATTTATTTTTTTTACTTGCCCCCAGTAATGAGAAACACTTGAAAGGCAGAGAGCCAGAGAGGGATTTTCACATGAGCTGAGGCCTGGTCTCCCCCATGACAGGAAGCCAGCTGCTAAAGTCAGCTGACCCACCACCACTTCCCAGAATCTGTTAGCAGGAAGCTGGAGTCAGGAACTGAATATTAGCTTCCATTCCCACCGTTTTTAAAGTGGTTTTCTTTCTTCTTTTTTTAGAGGCTTAAGTATTTATTTGAAAGGTGAAGAAAGATTGAGAGGGAGAGACATCTGCTGGTTCTTTCCCTACATGTTCTCAGCTGTCAGGGGCTTTGTCAGGCAGAAGCCAAGAGCCCAGAGCTTCATCTCATTCTCCTGTGCTTGGGCCGCCCCTCTGCTGCCTTCCCAGGCATATTAGCAGGGAGCTGGCCAGGTAGTGAAGAAGCCAGGGCTAGAACTGATGCTCGTATGGGAGGCTGTTATTGCAGCTGGCAGCTCTGCCTGCGACACCACAGTCATGGCTCCTACAGTAGTATTTTAAGTTGTATTACTTTCCTATCAAGTATATAGAAATTCTTACTCCTGCTGAAAAGGAATCCAATTAATTTTTTTTCCCCCTTTGAAACCTGACTCTCAGACTTCTCTTGTTTTTGATGAATATGTGATTATGGAAAGAGATTTTTCTTATAGGAAAATCAGCAAGTGCTATGAAAAATGCCAATAAAACGTAAACAAGAGACTATGGGTTCTCATGGGGGAATGCTATACTGGGCTAGGATTGACTTGGTTTAAAGACATCGGTAGCTGGTCCATTTCAGCTGCGTGGTTACAATTGGGTCGGTGTTATCAGATGTTTTATTTTGTACGAGCAGGCAGAAATCTAGAGCTGAGGGACTATTTTCAGTTTTTCATCTGCTCCAAAAGTGCTGGCCAAACTAAGCAAGTCACGGGTTGATGCAATCTGAGAACAAGTTTTTTTTTTTTTTTTTAATCTTTGATCTAACTTACAAGTTGTTCAGAACAAGATTTGTTTATTCCTGTTCCCTGTGCCCAAAATAACTCGTCTCATATATTTTGTAGTTGATAAAGATGTTGAATAATAAACAGAAGAAATGGACACTATTCTTGAGCAATTATTAGGGATGAAGTGGTAGTGATTGCCTGAAGTGGTTTGAGGGAGAAGATAAACTTGATTGAGCACCTATGATAGACCACAGATACCAGTGTATTATTTAGTGCTACTATGCTCCTATTTAGCGAGCCACCCTCCCAGGCTCAACATGCGCTGTGTACAACAGATTAAGAGAGACAAGTTGCTTGTGTGAGATCCTATGATTACAGCTGGTAAATGAACAAAGACCCCTGAAGCAACTGCCAGTTTGTTGGTCTGCCATTTGAGTGTTCAGATCCATTCATTGCTGGTGGGGATTTTTCCTGCACGGGAGTCAGAGTGTAATAAGTATAAAAGTTTGCAGAAAAGTAGAATTAAAAGGCAGGTTGATTTTTTTTTGTTGTTTGCAAAATTGTTTGAAATGTATGCATAGTTTCTTCATAATATTCATTGTTCCTAAAAACTTTGAAGGTCCCTCCCTTTATGCATAGATTTCAAAATGTTTTTGCACTAAAAAAAAGTATCTTTAAACACTATTTTCCATGAACATTTTGAAATACCCTTGTATTAGACAAAGGAAGCCAGTCTTCTAAAAGTTTAAGTCTTCTGAAGCATTTGTGTGAAATCAATGGTTTTATTTTGGTAAGGCTTCTGGGAATAACAGCATCTCTTCCCTGTTGATTTATTAAGGGGAATTAGAAATGATGCTAATATCTATTTTGAACTATATGGCAGGGCCTTTTAATGTTTATGAACTGATTTTGGAAATGACTGTTTAGTGAGCGTATCCCTATTTTACATACGAGGAAACTGAGGTTCAGATTCGAGTCCCAGGCCACTCAGCTTTAGTAAATGGCCATCAGGAGACCTTCTGAAATCTGTTCCTAAACTCTTGCCCTTGTGTCTCATTCTGATATGTTCTCATACTTGTTTGCTTCCCAACCCTTAATTATTCTATGACCATTTAGCTGTGTAAGTTTTGTAGAAATATTTCATGCATTGAGTCCAGGTACTTCATGGCTAATGTATAGTCTAACCTAATTATGTGTTTATTGATTCCCCAGCGTGCTAGAATGCTGCAGGGCTGGCCATTGTCCTAAACCATTTATAGCTATGGACTTGCCAGATGAGACCCAGTGGGATGAAACCACTTGCGAGTTGGCTCTTTGTCAGCATCCGCAATGCTGGGCATCTTTCCGCCGGGTTGAAAGGGGCCATCCTCGGATTTTGAACTCACCTTGCAAAACCCCTGTGGATGCTGAAGGTAAATTAGCATCTGTATTCATCCTCACAAGGTCCTTAAACTATTTATGTTTAGCTTACTTTCCCTAGAAAACCTGTTACATATTTCCTCCTGATCTACTTTCTCAGATAAACTCCCAGTGCTCACGGTGGTCAACATCTCAGATTCCTGCTTCCAGGCCAAGAGACTTGCTCATCGTCCATTATCAGCATCTGCCGTGACTAAGACACGCACTTTGTTGTCTCAGAAATCAAAATTTGACTCTAAATTTCGAGGCAGGTAGTGTATCACAGAATCTTCCTTTAACAGCCCGTTGTCTCTAAAGTGCTGAGTTATATTCCTGACCAATTAAGTAGACTTTTTTGAGAAGTGGGATAAAAAAGAAAACACTGATTTAGTTGCTGAAGTAGTGAGTAGGTAGTGGACTGGCTAGGCCAGGCTGGAGCCAGGAACTGGGCACTCAATCCAGATCTCCCATGTATGTGGCAGGAATCCAACTACTTGAGCCATTTACTGCTGCCAAGAGTGTTCATCAGTAGGATGCTGGGACAGCAGACAGAGTCAGGGTTCTAACTGAGGCATTCCCGTGTGGGATATGGGTGTCTCAAGCAGTAGCCGAGCACTGTGTCAGATACCTGCCTCTCAAAGGTACTTTGAGACAGTGATGCAGCTGTGTTACTAGGAGAGCAAGGTGGAGGCTGTACATGTCAGTCTGCTGCAACAAATGACAGTGCTGAGTTAGTGAATGTTCTGGGTAAAGCAAATGCAAGGAGATGTTAAGACTCTAATTTACTTGACAAATAGTAAGCCCAAGGTTTTCTGTGGTTAGTTACTAGTTTTGCACTAACTTTATCCTCCTAGCAAATCTTTTTTTCTTTGTTTCATGTTGGGAACTCGTATTTTTCAGGCTTCATAAGGGTTTACCTGACGATTTGAGCAGCCTTACTAAGAGATCTCCCAAAGTAAGTCACCAATTTAAAAAGGTCTACTTTCTTTTCTTGTGTGCATATATTACTCATATTTGGCCTTCATTTAACATTATTCCTCAGGATAACTGTCTAACTAACAATGGACAGTTACTGTATGCTAGGCTCTGCATGGCTTTACATGCTATATTATTTTCAGATACAAGTAGAATTGTACAAGTTTTGTGTGGGTGAAAATTTTGTCACTGTTCTGCACAGAATGTATTAAGCTACTGAGTAAACAAATGTCGTCTCCTAGCTGGGGAAATTGTGGTGCTGGGATATCAAACCTAAGTGGGTCTTCTAGTGATCTAGTCTGATGACTAGATCTAATGACAATAGATTTCACAGTAAAAATATTATGGAATAATCCGTGTTCTAACCATGGTGGTCTCTAATATTCTCTGTTTTATTCTGTTTCATTTTGGATCAACGTGTGCTGTGACTCATACAGTTTCATTTATTACTGGTGAACAGGTTGCAGTTGCAGTGTGAGGCCATTGCTGTGGTCACTCTAATACATCTTCAAGCTGAGGAAATTGAAGGCCACACATAGAAAAATAATTTGCTAAAGTACATAGGTTAGGGTAGAGCTGAATTAGAACCTTAGAGAGAGAAGTCTTCCTAAACACCTGCCATGTAGAGAGATTGCTCTTTGCAGTCTTGTTAGTGCCTTACATGTTTCCCATACGATGGTTTGCTCCTCGGTGTGAGGGACTGTTGGATTGTTGGTGGTTTGGGTGGATGGTGGAATCACTTTACCTCTTTGATCTCTTTAGAACAAGAGGGTTAGATTAACTTATTTTAAAATTAGTTGAGTAAGTAATACACAAACATGATTCTGAATTCAAAAGGCATAAAAGAGGAGCTAGTGTTGTGCATAATGGGCTGCCTATGGCCCAGAGCTCAACTTCTGATCCAGCTCCCTGCTAATGGTCTGGAAAAAGCAGTGGAAGATAACCAAAGCGTTTGGTCACCTGTCATCTGCGTGGGCGACCTAGATGAAGCTCCTGCCTCCTGATTTTGGCTTGGCTTAGTGCTAGTCAGTAGACCAGAGGATGGACCATTTCTCTGTTTCTCTTTTTTTCTGTAACTCTTTTTCTCTGTAACTCTCTCTCTCCTTTCTTTCTTTCTTTCTTTCTTTGAAGATTTACTTATTTTATTTGAAAGGCAGATTTACATAAAGGAGGACAACAGAGATGTATCTTCCATCCACTGTATCACTCCCCAAATTGCCTCAGTGATCAGAGCTGAGCAAATCTGAAGCCAGGAGCTAGGAGCTTCTTCTGAGTCTCCCATGTGGGTGTAGGATCCTAAGGACCTATGCCATCTTCTGCTGCTTTCTTAGGCCATAAGCAAGGAGCTGAATTGGAAATGGAGCAACCTGGACTACAACTGGTGCCTATATGGAATAACAGTGCTTAAAGGTGGAGGATTAACCTGTTGAGCCACCATGCCAGCCCCTGTAACTCTTTCAAAGAAACAAGTAAATCTTAAACAAATAAGCAAATAAAAAACCCATTAAAGGCTTTCAAATGAAAGTTAGTCTCCCCAGTTCCTCCCTCCTCCTTCCAAACCATTAAATTATTTTTTTTAGAAGGGAAAATTTGCTATTATTCTTTGAAGCTTCCTTTGAAAACTTTAAAATTTCTCCTCTTTCTTTTTTATTTTTAAAGAGAGAAATAGAGACAAACAGACAGAGGTCATCCATCTCCTGATTTACCTCCCAAATGCCAGAAGCAGCCAGGAGCCTCCACTCGGCTACTGTGCTGGGCATGAGAAACCTTTTTTTTTTTTTTTTACCATCTTCTAGTAAAAAACAAACAAACAAACAAAAACCCAAAAAATAAAAATCTTTTTGCTTAAGGTGACATTACTCAGATGTTTGTCTGGTACTGAATAGATTTAGCAGCCCTACATAGAGTTTTTATCTTTCTTTTAGATTTCAGTGTTGAATTTGAACGCGACAGAAATCCCCTCCTCTAAAGATGTTAGAAATATGGTTGTGGTCTGGGTCCCAGAAGAACAAGAGAAGCCTGTGAGGTGAGAATCCTGTCTGAAGTTTGGAGGCTACTGATCTTTGTATTCTACAAACCGCACTGTCCTCTTCAGGCCCCTGTGTAGCCCCCTCATTGTAAGTAGCAGGACGCCAAGAAGAGCTCTTAGCCTCTTGCATCTGCCTCTTGCGACACTGCAGTTGTGGTTTAATATACTTTGAGATTCATGCTCAGATTTCAAATTGTACATGACAATAAATAGGCTAAAGGTAAGGCTCAATTTATTTCTGAAGTCCAGTCAAGAAAGAAGTGCTATCAATTTTTTCATTAGTCGTCAGAAGCTTGTGAGACATTTCTCAGTGAGCACATGGATCATTGATGTCAATCCCAAGGTCCTCCACTGTGGTAGTAAAGGAATTGCATGAAGAACTGGCTGTTTATACAAAGTAGAGTGTGACACAGGCCTTTCGGTGAAGGCCAGAAGGCTTGCTAACAGTGGCAGCTGTAGGGAAAGAGTTTGATTCTTCCTGTGGTCTTGGATGGCTTCTAGATTCTTAGTGTTTGAAAATGATGAGACTCCAGGATTTCTTCTTGGTTGGCTACCGTGTCTATGTCAACCTCAAGTATTTCTTTTTATTTCATTTTCTTTTTAAAAAATATTTATTTTTTTTAAATAATAAGTATTTTATTTATTTTAATTACAAAGATATACAGAGAGGAGGAGAGACAGAGAGGAAGATCATCTGTACGATGATTCACTCCCCAAGTGAGCTCAATGGCCAGTGCTGCGCTGATCTGAAGCTGGGAACCAGGAACTTCTTCCAGGTCTCCCACATGGGTGCAGGGTCCCAAAGCTTTGGGCTGTTCTCGACTGTTTTCCCAGGCCACAAGCAGGGAGCTGGATGGGAAGTGGAGCTGCTGGGATCAGAACCGGCACCCATATGGGATCCTGGTGCATTCAAGGCGAGGACTTTAGCCACTAGGCCACAGAGCGGGCCCTCATTTTCTTTTCTTATAAATGCTTTTTATTTTTCAGTTTTTATAGTTAGATATATGTTACAAACAAAATGAACAAAAAATTCCTAAGCATTTATCTTTCAATCAAAAGAAGCCTAGAGTTGGGTGGACCAGGGCTAGTGTGTTAGCTATATGAAGTTGTCAGAAACCTGGATGCCTTCTGGCTTTCCAGGCCATACTCTTCAGTCAATGACTGTTGTCTTTTTTTTTTTTTTTTTTTTTTTTTTTGTCTGCTGTCTTCTAAGCTACTTTTTAAGTTAATTTTTAAAAAATTTATTTTTATTGGAAAGTCAGATTTACAGAGGGAAGGAGAGACAGAGAAAGATCTTTTATCCACTGGTTTACTCCCCAAGTGGCCCCAGTGGCTGAAGTTGAGCTGATCTGAAGCCAGGAGTCAGGAGCCTTTTACTGGTCTCCTATGTAGGTGCAGGGTCCCAAAGCTTTGGACTGTCAAATGGACACAAATGGCACTCATAAGGGATGCTGGTGCATGCAGGTTGAGGACTTTTAGCTATTAGGCTACCGCACTGGGCCATCTAAACTTTTAAGGCCTAAGTTGGCTGCTAATGCACCAAATGTTGTGTCCATTTTCCAGGCAAGGAAGAGGTGAAGAGGACAGAACAAAAGTTGGTTCTTGAGCACTTTCTGTATTTCTGAGTGTTCACGGGAAAACTGAATACATGTGGTCCTTGTTTCTCCTAGAGCTATGTTGGGGGTGGTGGGGAAAGGGAGTCAAACAGTACAGACATCATCACATCCCTAATTTGTACAATTCTTAATTTGAATTTATGCTATGAAAGTGACTAGTTTGTCAGACAATGGTGATGGACGTTATCTTTTGAAATATTTATTTGAAGGGCAGAGTGACGCAGAGGAAAAAGTGGGAAGAAAGAGGCAGAGAGAAAAAAAAGGAAAGAAGAGAGACAGAGAGAGGGAGGGAGGAGAGACAGAGAGAAATGCTCCATCTGCTGTTTCACTCCCCAACTGGTTTCAACAATAAGTGGTGTGCCAAGTGAAGCCAGGAGTCAGGAACTTCATCCTGGAACTCCATCTCACTTGGGCGACAAAGACTACGGAAGAACAGAGCCATTGTTGGCTGCTTCCCAGGCCCGTCTTCCAGAGCTTGCTCAAGCAGAGTAGCTACAAGTTAAGCCAGCACTATGACATAGAAAGTGGATGTCCCAAGTGGCAGCCTGAAATAGTGGCACACAAGTTTGCTTCCCCCTGCCCTTACAATGTGTCTTTTTAACAGGAAGTACCTGGCAGTAGACACTGCTGGGCCCATAGCAGCCATCTTTGAGTGCTGAAAGGAGGGAGGAATCTTCATTGTCATTATTCACAGATATCCTTGGCACTTCTGCTTGGGATGTCTAGGGATAAGTAGTGGTTGGTCTTCTTTCAGTCCAGCTGAAAAAGATGCCTTCTTTCCCCCAGCCAGTATGAGAAAAAGAAAAGAAAGAACTCGGCAATGGTGAGATCAATATTTTTTTTTGCAAACCTCTGTCTTACTATGTGAATTTATTTTTGTGTTTCTCTCAGATCTGCTCCACCTCTCACTTCGCTATTCTCTTCCTAAATGAACAAAAGACAATCTTTCTTTTGGAATTATGACCCCACCACTTGACATTCAGACTCCTTTTGCTTGTGTCCTCAAGAGACCTTGAGGAGATGACGATGATCTGGTGGGCATTCGGGGGGGATTTTTGGACAATTAAAAACAAGTTTCCAATGCAGTAGAGTAGAATTTCAACAATGGTAAGACATGGGTATCTAATTTTTATTTTACTGTTTATGAGTAAATATGATCTGGACTAAGTCACAGGGCTATCATAGGACTGCTGTGTCCGTGAGCATCTGTTGCAGCTCTTTCTTTATTTCTATTTTTTTTTCCCGCCCCAGGTTGAGGGAGTTTTTTCTTTTTAAAAGATTTATTTATTAATTTTTGTTGGAAAGGCAGATTCACAGAGAGAAGGAGAGACAAAGATCTTCCATCTGCTGGTTCACTCCTCAACTGGCTGAAACAGCCGGAGCTGAGCTGATCCGAAGCCAGGAGCCAGGAGCTTCTTCTGGGGCTCCCACGCAGGTGCATCCTCTGCTGCTTTTCCAGGCTATAAGCAGACAGCTGGATAGGAAGTAGAGCAGCCGGAACATGAACCAGTGCCCATATCGGATGCTGGTGCTTGCAGGGGAAGGACTAGCCAATTGAGCCATTTTGCTGGGCTTGGTTGCAATTTTTTTTTTTTTCATGTGCTGAGTCCACTTCCCTACCTCTGTGCTTGGCACATAGATAATCTGTCAACTGAACAAATAAATGAAATAGATTTCTAGGGATTGGCATTTTGGCATAGCACATCAGGGCAGCACCTGTGAAACTGGCATCCTGTATAGGTGCCTTTTTGTGTCCTGGCTGCTCACACCCTTATCCAGCTTCCTGTTAATGGCTTTGGAAAAGCAGCTAAAGAGTGAACCAGCAGATGGAAGATTAATCTCTCTTTTTCTCTAACTTGGTCTTTTAAATAACCTAATAAATATAAAATGCCCACACATGTATTCTTATAAAAAATGAAACAACTTTCTAGAAAAACAAACAAGCAACTAATCTTAAGATGATCTCAGTACAATAGGGTTGGGAGCCTAAGGGGAAGAGATCTGGGGAGAAGGAAGAGGGCGACCTGGGATATGTTGGGAGGCTGGAACGTGAAGGGAAAGAAGTGGACTGGACAGGAGTGCTTTGGAGAGCTCTTTCTTTCTTTTCAAAAGAACAAATCCTCCTTTGGTCTGCCTGGAAAGCAGGGCACAAAAACACGGTTGAGAGCGCCAAAGATCCTTGTGCCTCCCCCTTCTCCAGTCCATTTGTTGGAGCGTTTCAGTTCAGAATCCATACCTCTGTGGGCCCAAATTGGCATGTTACCTCAGGAGCTGCTGATGGAGTAAGTATCCCTCAGGCCTGTGCAAGGTCGGTGTACCTGCTGTTGGTTACTCCTGGGAGGGGTCTAAGCAGTGCATTCTCTCCCAGCAAGTGGCAGGCCGGGAGAAACCTGTCCATGCACTTGGTTACAGAGCTTTCAGCAATAGGCAGTGATGACAGGCAGAAGCATCAGCATTTACCACACTCTTCCCAGCACCCAGGCCCTCTGCCCAACACGAAACACGCACTCTCACACAAACCTCCACTGGCAGGAAGGTGCTGTGACTCTCTTCTTTTAAATATGAGTTATGAGCAGTTGGGGAAGGAGGAGGGAATTGTTAGGGATTAGATGACCTTTGAGTTTTGTGACTAAACTGGCTTTGTGAATTTGGGGGATGTATTTAGCCTCTTCCAGCTTCATTTTGTTTGCTAAGCGGGGATAGTATCTATGCTCAGGGTCTGTAAGGACTCAGAGATGTGAAGTACACAAGCCTGACATCAACACTTAATAAATGCAGCTGGATGATCAGAGATGCATCTGCAGGGTCCCCATGGGTACCAGCTGGGGCAGGTCTATTGCAGGCTCCAAGTGAGCGTTTCCTCAAACTGGAAGTCCTATCACTTTCTCCTCAGCCATGCTCTCTGAGGAGAGGCACTGCTGACCATCCGGCTCTCTCTGTGCCTGTCAGTCTTTTGGCAGATGGAGGGATAGATGTGCCTTGCCCAGAGATGAAGATCCAGTTGGCCATGGTGAGGAAGACTCTTCCCCTGGAGAAGAGCCGGCCTGACAGCGCACTGTCTGCTAAGATGTGTCTGACCACCCACCGCCTCACCCTGCAAGTAAGAGCTGGGAGCCGCAGAGCGAGAGATCTGCATGAACATTCATGCCTTGAGGCTGCAAGAGCTGGCTTTGTATCCCTTCTTTCTCTTCTGCCCTTACGTTTTGGCCCTGGGTCCTGCAAGAGGGGGACTCTGGAGGCGAAAGCCAAAGTATAGAGAGATTTGAGGAGAGTTGTCTATACCTTTGCACTTCAGTCACCACACCTTTTTCTTTCCTCTGTAGCCCCTGGTGCAACGCTGCAAAATACCAGGTTCTGAAAACAGGCTTGTGGGTTAGAGAGTAAGTGCATTTGAAGGAAATACACTTGGGAAAAAGGAACTTACAGCAGGGCTTTTCTTGCATTTCTTCCCTTCCAGAGACCAGCCTTGCGGTATCCTGAACATTGGAAGAAATTACAATATAACCTGAAGATAGAAGGTAGATTTGCTGGTGTTGTCAGATCTGCGTGTAACCCTTCCCCCTTCAGTCTGTATTTTTCACAATTTAACTTGGTAACAGTTTAGTTAAATTTGTGACTACACTCAGGTATACCCAAGTTTTACTCAGGTAAAGCACCACAGTAAAGAACTCAGGAAGTTTCAGGAGGCAGTCACTTCTGGGTTGCTCCTAACCAGGGAGAGTGGCCATCGCAGGGCAGGTCACAGCAGACATCCGCACAGGAGGATGGGGGCCATCTGTGGGAAGAGGACTGAGCCTGCTCTCTGGTCACCAGGTCTCAGGAAACAGCAGCGGCGCCAGCAGCAACGGAGGAAGGTGAAGACGCCTACTAAGAAATAGTAGGATGCTGGAGAGAGATTGCCTGGGTCTTGCTGGGACTGGAAGAAGTTGGTGCAGCTCAAATGGGAAAGGATGTATGAGAGAGGGATTCAGTGTGTGTGTGTGTAACATTTTGTTTTTGCAAACACAAAGCTCTTTTCTGCTTATAGATGTTCCTTTTGAAAAAGTTTTCTTCACTTCTGCAAGGTCCTGATTCAGTTCCTTCTCACGTGCGTTTCAGGGGCCTCAAAAGAAAGCCAGAGGTGATCCAGAGAGGCAGAATTCTGCACATCAATGTTCAGTTACCATTGTCTGTGACCCTGTCTGTGGTAAGGAGGGTATGTGCTTGGTTGGGGTTAGGGGATAGGCTCCTGGAATGTAGCTGAGGACAGGAAAAGTCAAATGTACATTTGCCATTTGAGACCTGTCTTTGTCAGGCACTCAGAATTCTTGGAGTGCTTCAGTCTGGCTGATCTACCTTACATTTTCTGTCCATCAGATATTGATTTAGTGGCCAACTGGGCCAGATGTCTGCTTTGCATGTGAATTTGAGAGATGACCATGGGCATGAGTCATAGTTATTTTTGCCTCAAGTCTGCCTTAGGAACGACAGGTGTTTGATAGAGTGTGAGCAAGCCCAGGTTCCTGCAGAGAGGACCCTGAGGATCTGTCAGCCAAGGAGACAGGGAAGAGCTAGGGCCTCTGAAGCCTCCTAAGGGAGCAGAGTTCCAGGGTCCACGGCTTCCCTCCCTGAAGCTGGGGAGTCCCTGGAGCCTCCAGTTGGATCAACACATTGCCCACCACCAAGAGGAAGCAAGCAGGCAGGCAGGCCTTTCCCTCTCGTGTTTGTGCTGGGGATGAGAATGACTGTCTCCCTTCTCTGGGATCCTTATCATTTCTGAGCTGAGAGATACCTCGACTGTATCCTTTTGACATTTCTTGAATGAACAATGGGAGGGAGGGAGAGTACAGAGAAGAAGAAAGATTCCCTTAAACTTTATAAGAGCATTCCACTCTACTCAGGCTGAAACATTGCTGGCTTTCAGGTGACAGCACCTGTGATGATCAGAATCCACTCTGATCCTGGAGCCCTGGGAGAGTGCAGGTGAAGTGTTTCCTAAGAACGAGGCTTCCCTGTTGCTCTGCTTCCCTTCCTGCTTTGCTCAGGTACCAAGGATGCCTACTAGATGAAGATTAAGGGGACTCCTGACCTTCATGAGGGAGGCAGACAGAATCAGAACTGTGGCTCAGTGCAGAAACAGCTTGTCCAGGATTAGCATCCCTTCTAGATCATCACTGTCACTGTTCTGAATCCCATCCCAGTGCCTTTTATACGCTTTCTGAAACCTTCTGTAGGAGCAGTTTTCCTCGGTGATTTGGCACCTCCTTGAGTCATGTTCTTAGAGCAGTGGCCTGTCCTCATTGAGTTGAGAAAGCCTGTATATAAAATATGATTTTTTAAAAATATTTATTTATTTTTATTACAAGTTAGATATACAGAGAGGAGGCGAGACAGAAGAAGATCGCCCATCTGATGGTTCACTTCCTAAGCAGCCGCAGTGGCTGGAGCTGAGCCAATCTGAAACCAGGAGCTTCTTCTGGGTCTCCCATGTGGGAGCAGGGTACCAATGCTTTGGGCCGTCCTCTACTGCTTTCCCAGGCCACAAGCAGGGAGCAGGAAGGGAAGTGGAGCTGCCTGGATTAGAACCGGGCCCATATGGGATCCCGGCACGTTCAAGACAAGGACTTTAGCTGCAAGGCCACGCTGCCGGGCCCGAAAATATGATTTTTGTACTGAATGTTGAATATGTGTGGGAGGTTTCTGTGATATGAAAAAGAATTCCTGGGAGCTGGAATAGCCTGTGCCAAGGCATCTTGGAGGGACATAGCTGCTCAAGAAACACCGAACAGTTCAGAGACACTGCAGGCTGGAGTATTAAGGAAGCAGTAGATCAGCTGGAGAATCAGGCAGAAGCCTGTAAGACTTTTTAGGTGCTTGACCTATATTTTCCAGGTCTGCAAGGCTTCACCAGGCTGCCCGGGGTCCAGCTGAGAGGCTTTTAAGACTCAGCACCTATTAAGTCAGAATATCTGGTGCTAGGAAGCAAACCTTAGTGCCTTTTAAAGCTGCCCAGGGTTTCCTGTGTGCAGCTGAGGTGAGAACCACTGCTGATAGGCGGCTGACAAAAGTGTTGTCTTTTAGCATAATACCTCTGGTGACAGTTTGGCAAATGTCTGTTTAGTCCATCAGAGATTGAGGGAAGAATGAATGCATTTAAGGACTAGCTGGTGAAGTAGATGATACAAAACTAGAGCTCTGTCTTATATCTTTTCTTTGGTTTACTTTTTCAGAAGCCAATGTGATGCCGCAAGAAGGTGAGTCACCTCTGGTCTGGAGGAGTATTCATAAACTGAAGAGGTAGAGTTAGGGTTTCTTTTGCTGTCTTAATGTGTAACTATCTGCCCCTTAGGTTTCCTGGAATAATTTTGAGTATTTTTATACCCATATTTGTCTTAATCTCTAATTCTATAATAGATATGGTCACAGTCCTAGGTGGAGAGAATCCCAGAGAACTTGGAAGGTCTGACTCTTTTATCTGCTTCCAAGGTTTTGCCTTATCCAGGATCGGGAGTCACTTGCAAGCTGGATTTCAACTAGAAGCCCAACAAGAAGGCCACAGAACTGTGTCAGGTCAGGAAAGTAACAGAACAGCAGCAATGGCAGATGGAGGTAGAAGTATCCGCTTCCAAACAGGTGAGCGTTTACCAGTGCCTCTGCCCAGTTCAGTTGTCTGTTATAGGATAACAAATAACTATAAAGCTTAATCTGTAGGATTTGTTACCTAAAGATATTTGGATTGACTAGGCAATTATTCTAGCCTCGCTTAAAATCACTCAGTATAGCGAGGCTAGGACAATTGGCCATGTTGCCTAAATTCTCTTTAATGAGGCCTCTGTGTGTCTTGTTCATTGTCTTGATAGAATAGCAGTCTCATGAAAATACTTTCCTGTGGGATGGGCCTGGAGCTAATATTTTATTGGTCAAAGAAGTCACGTGTCAAACTCAAAGGAGAACTAGACTTCATCTTTTGATGAGAGAAGCGTAATCATATAGGCATGGGGGGAGCTGTGGACAGCCATCTTTGGAGGTGGTCTGCCCTTACTCGAGAGAAGTGGGTTCTATTTTCATGTGGAGGGCAAAGAAGATGCAATACAAAATTCTCGTTAGTCCTGAGAGGTGGGTCATGTGCTGTCTTTGAAAACCATCTCTTAGAAAAAAATCCTAGTTACTAAAGTCTTGGATCAGATTTCCTTAAACTTCCCTCAGTGAATTACAGAATTCCTCAGACCAAAGATAGGCTACTCTGAGAACTATGTGGACTTACTCCCCCAATACGAAAAATGGATTATGAGACTGAGGACCTGGTTAACCTCCCTACAGGACAGTCTTTCTCCTTTGAAGAGATGCTGATGGCATCTCAGTCTTTTCTTTTTCTAAATGCTACTTGCTGTAATTAGTTGAGAGAAAGCTACAGGTGCAATTGACAGTTGCATCTTCTTTTAGGTCCTGAACTGTCTGTCATAGAACCTGCTTATGAGAATAATAGTTCTTCACTGGAGGCTGCACCGGAAGTTGAAGCGGCACAAGGAGATGAGAGTACTATCCAACAGACCCTCAGGAAGCTTGCAGAAAGCGTGACTGGAGTAAGCTGGAACCCTGAGCTGAAACTCCTAAGGATTCTTCAGGGCAGTGATGATGAGGACGATGATACTCAAGCCTCTGGGGCCCAGAGTGAGGAGTCTCTGGCGGCGTGGGCTGAAAGCATTACCGAGGAAGCCTTGTCCAGAGCGGGATGGTCAGCAGCCCGAGGATCGCGACCTTCGAGTTAAGGGAAGGAAAGAGGATGTCTGTTTTCTGCAGCCTTTACCAGGGCCATTCTGTTGATGTCATTTGCTTCTTGCCTCTAAAATAAATGAGGGGGAAGAAGCTCCACCCATTTTAACCTTAGATTGTTTCTCTTCCATTAGGGTCAGAATAATTTTAGTGATTAAACACAACTACTTTTCCATTAAAAGGCTCCTTCTCTTGTGTTTGGGAGGAGAGGGGATCCCTTTCTTAGGAGAGTCCTGCTTCCTGGTCCGCTTTGCCTCTTCTCTCTCAGAAAGGTTTCTGGTTCGAGGAACTGAATTTCACTCATGGGAACCCTCAAGGTATGCCGAAATTTTCTTCACTTTGGAAACAGTTTCTTTTGGAAGTGGTATCCATATCTTTATTAAATATCGTGTCTCCATCCATGTTTCCCATATTTACACTAACCTAGAAGAATTTAAAATGCCAGTTTCAAGGGACTGAGTCTGTGGAAGCTTCCGTTTGGTGCTCTTAAGCTTCGTTAATTCCAGAGTCACAGAGGATTTCTACTTCGGGGCTTGTAAGGACTTTTTCCCCTTATGTTTTAGTACTTAAAAAAAACTTTTAGTATAGTAAAATCTCAAAGTGAAGTGAAAGTAAAGAATAATAAAGTGAAGCATGTATGTACTCAGCATCTTGGGTGTGATCAGGAAAGGCCCTTTTATTGGGGCCCCATAAGTGGTAAAGTCCATCTCTGTCCCTTGCTGGCTGTGCTGCTTTCTTGCAGAGAAGTCTGCAGGGTCAGTGAGCTTTTATGCCTCCTTGGAGTTGTATTTCTTTATTTCTTGTATTTCTTTTAGTTGTGGCTCCTGGTATTTAGAACCAGCAAATTTGCTGTCCTGATGGCTTTACACAACCAGTATGTGCAATACTGGGAAAGAAGTGGCTAAAAGGAGATGGCTTAAAGGGGGCTGTGCCAAGAGCTTGGTCATAGAGATTAGGTTGTCTCTGTGTGGGGCCCTTCCCAATTAGAGCAGGAGCTGGGAATGAGGAGGGTGGGGCATGGACTAGGATGTCGGGAGTGGGCTCTCAGGCATCTGAATTCTGGATGAATCTGAACCCAACCTTCCTGCAGTTACACGGGTTAAAGTCGAAGGATAGACTGTTTGTTAGCTAATTTAAAATATATTTATAAATTTAAAATAGGCTTAAAATATTTAGATATGGTAGGTAGGCCTACTTTTTGTATTCTTACTCTGAGTCCTGAAAAAGCTGGGATTAGGTCTACATGGACCATTGTCTAGGAGAAATTTTTGGGAAGAATTTAACCGTAGAACTTAGAGATTACTAATTTGCAGCTACATTAATTTTTTAAAAAAAGATTTATTTATTTTCATTGTAAAGTCAGATATACAGAGAGGAGGAGAGACAGTGAGAAAGATCTGTCCGATGATTCATTCCCCAAGTGAGCGCAACGGCTGATGCTATGCCAATCCGAAGCCAGGATCCAGGAACCTCCTCCAGGTCTCCCACATGGGTGCAGAGTCCCAAGGCTTTGGGCTGTCCTCGACTGCTTTCCCAGGCCACAAGCAGGGAGCTGGATAGGAAGTGGAGCTACTGGGACTAGAACCGGTGCCCATATGGGTTCCCGGCGCGTTCAAGGTGAGGACTTTAGCCACGCCGCTGGGCCCAGCTATATTAATTTTTAAGTTGATTTCTCTGTTATTTGAAAGGCAAAGAAGAGACATAGATCTTCCATCTGCTGGTTCATTCCCTAAGTGCCACAGTAGTTAGAGCTGGGCCAAGCTGAAAGCAGGAGCCAAGAACTCAATTGGAATCTCTGTGTCAATGGCAGGAAGCTGAGACGTTGAGCCATCACCTACTGCCTCCCAGGGTGTGCATTAGCAGAAAGCCAAAATTGCCAGTGGAGCTAGGAGTCAAACCCAGGCGCTCAGCTATGGTTCCAAGAAGCATGTTGACTATTACACCTTAAGTCTCTGTTCCTGCAGTTGCATTGCAAAGGTAAGGTCAGCAGGGCTAGCAAGGCTTGGCTGAGGTCAGGCGCTGAGGAGGGGTGGAGCTAGGCAGGGGTCTGGGTCTCTTGACCCCACCACACTGGAGCTCTTTCACAACTCTGTTCTGCTGCTCTTACTTCATCCCCTGATCATGTCATGTTTAACCAGAACCTGACTTCCTCCTCTTCCTGGTGTTCTACTTATCTTCCTCTAGAATTGATTAGTTTTGACCTTAGGGTTGCTATCTCCTTTTTTTTTTAATGAGAAAAATTGGAAACATGCAATACTGAGTCCCCATGTGTCCATAATCCAACAAATATCAGTTTATGGTCAATCAATCTTGTTTCATCTATAACCTACAAGGAACTAAATTATTTGAAGCAAAGGTCAAAGGTCACTTTTTTTTTAAAAGATTTATTTTTATTATTGTTTTATTGGAAAGGCAGATATACAGAGAGGAGAGAGAGAGAGGAAGATCTTACGTCCGATGATTCACTCCCCAAGTGAGTGCAACGGGCCGATACTATGCCGATTGGAAGCCAGGAGCCTCTTCTGGGTCTCCCACGCGGGTGCAGGGTCCCAAGGCTTTGGGACGTCCTCGACTGCTTTCCCAGGCCACAGGCAGGGAGCTGGAAGGGAAGCGGGGCTGCCGGAATTAGAACCAGTGCCCATATGGGATCCCGGGCGTGCAAGGCGAGGACCTTTAACCACTTGCGCCACCGCGCTGGGCCCAAAGGTCACTTTATGTATAAATACTTCAGGATCTCTAAAAGAGTTAGCAAATTCAAATAATTTTATACCAGATGATTGTTTAAAACCATCAAATGTCTAGATATATTCAAATTTCCTTGTCTTGTTTTTTTATAGTAGATGAATTTGAGTTGGAATCCAAGTAAGGCCTGTAAATTACTTGATGTATAATACTTAATCTTTGGGTTCTCTTTCCTGTTCCTTCTTTATCTTTTCCTGCATTTACTTGCCATGCTAAGTAGAACTGACGAGAGCGGACATCTTTATGTTGTTCCTGATCATAGAGGGAATGCTGCCACTCTTACCAAGCTAAATATGATGTTAATTGTTAATTTTCTAGAGAAGCTCTTATTAGATTGAGTTCTCTTCTATGTCTTATTTTTTAGGGTGTTTATGTTTTGATCATGTAAGGACACTTGATTGTGTAATGCATTTTCTATGTTTATTGTGATGATCATGTATGTAGGGTTTTTAATATATTGATATGGTATATCATACTAATTGATTTTTACATTTTTGAACTAACTTGCATTCCTAGTATAAAGCCAATTTGATCATAATGGATAAGTACATGTTATTGGAGTTGGTTTGCTAAAATTTTTTTAAAAATTTATTTATTTTCATTTGAAAGGCAGATATACAGAGAGAAGGAGAGACAAAGAGGAAGATCTTCCGTCTGATGATTCACTCACCAAGGGACTGCAATGGCTGGACCTGAGCCAATTTGAAGCCAGGAGCCAGGAGTTTCTTCCTGGGTCTCCCACGCGGGTGCAGGGTCCCAAAGCTTTGGGCCGTCCTCGACTGCTTTCCCAGGTCACAAGCAGGGAGCTGGGTGGGAAGTGGAGCTGCCGGGATTAGAACCGGTCCCATGCAAGGTGAGGACATTAGCCACTAGACTACTGTGCCAGGCCTCATTTTGTCCCTCTTTTTCCAGTGACTTCAGGTGGAAGATAGGTTGTTCATATGAGGTCTTTTTTTAAAAAATATATATATAGGCATATAATCCTATATTGAATTCCCCTTTGTGTCCTTTAAGTTTTGATTAATAAGCTTTATTTTGACTTGAAGTATTTTCTCATTTCTCTTTTGACAATTTCTTTCATCCATTAGTTACTTTGAAGTGTTATTTCATTTTTACATGTTTGTGAAATTCTCAAATTTTTCTGTTCTATGGCCTGCGTCCGTCCTTGGGGAGATTGTTGAGCCAAGGCGCTGGTGGGAGGGTGGCAATGATGCTGTGCTGCTTCTCTCTGAGTGATCTGTGTAGAGAGCTGAGTGCTCAACGGACGAGTAGGCTGCAGTCACTGGTCTCTACCTTGGGCTTGCCTTTCTTCACCTGAGCCAGGGCGAGCTTGCTCCGGGCACTGCTGTTGTCAGCACTACCATGTACAAGATACAGCCTGCTCGACCTGCTGGGCGAAAGAAAGGAGCCCTGCTTAGTCTGATTGCACTCACCTGGCACAGTTGGCTGAGGGGAGGCTGAGAAGGGCTGGGAAGTCAGCGCTCCGACTTGGAGCCCTGTGTGCTTGGCTGCAGCTCTCTGCACTGTCATTCTCTGTCTCACTGAGCTGGTCATGGGCCTGGCTCACACCACAACTTCTAGTTCTTACTGAGCTCTGCGGATTTTCTTGAACCACTCTTTCCCTCTTTCCTCATTTGCTTTGTGCACCATTTTCAAAGACTTTAAATTCAGACTTTAAATTCTTTATTGTGTTTTGTCTTAAGTAATTTTTGCCAGTTTTGCTAGAATGGTTAAGTAATTTGCCAAAGGCTTGCAAGGGGATAGGGATGGACTCAGAAGTCAGCCTTCTCATCTGCTACAAAACGATCGATCTCTCTCTTACTATAACCCCCTCTTTTCTTTCTTTTTCTTTTTTCTTTTTTTTTTTTAAACCCATACAGCTGAGACGGGGGCACCCTTATTCAGGAAGGATGAAGCCATATGGAATCTAATTGACTGTTGGGGTAGAGTTCTCATAAACCCTCAGCCACAGCCTCCCAGTGCTCTGAGATTAGAGAAGCCAGGTAGCTGTTGCTGCCTGCCACTTTTCTGCCATCTGGGCCTCAGGGCAGCAAGAGGTTTAGGCTGAATAGCCAGCATTGCTTGGAGCTCCACTTCCCTTTTTAAGCTAACAGGGAGACTTGAGGGTTAACCTGTTGGAACATTGTCCCAAGAAACCAATCCTTAGTTTCTTCTGTTCTTTACATCTTTCGGTATGATTCCTGCCAAGACAGACCCCTTAATGTGGGTGACCCTGCTTTTCTGAGCACATTCCAGTGATGTGTGGCTCACATTTACTTGTATCTTGAAGTAGGTTCAAGGAAATCATCTTTTGGGCTCACTCTCATCTTTCGGAGCCACCCAACTTGAGTTGGTCTTCGTGTCAGCCTCTGGAGAAACAGACTATTTTTTTCAAAGGTTTGGATTCTATGAGGGTAATTTTTGAAGCTCATG